TTCATTGAGCTTTTTCTCATGTGCGTAACACATTTTTTCCAGTCTGATTCGTTCATTTCTCGCATTGTTCAGTTCGATCATTGCATCTATATACTGAAATATCAAAGAGAAAATTATGGACAGGTTTTTTTCTTCTTTACAAAATGCTTCAATATTAAATGCACTTGAGAAAAAGTAACGTTTTTTTTTAAAAAAGTAGTATCAACAGCTTTCAAGACAACTTTAATAAGCCTGCTTTTCCGTCTTCCTCTTCCTTCAAAACAGCAAATAATCAGGAATGGGTAGCAAATCAGTATGAATTACTTTTTTGTTCATATTTTTTCCGTTTCCGTCCAGCATTAATGGGTATTTTTTTCTAACCAACAGCAGTTGTATCTTCAAGTTAAATAATTCTGCCTTAAGTTTTTCGTTCTCCTCCAAAACTCCGATAGTTTCGTTGCAAACAAGGTGATGCGGAAGCGATAGTGTGCCTAAATTTTTCAGCAAATGAAGCAGTACTTAAGAACAATTATGGGTAAAATGAGAAAAGTTATCACACTTCAGTTGAAGGTAAAGAAAACATAATTGTAAATTAACCTTCACTGAGAGTTACTGTGAGTCTTCTTGGTTCATAAATGTCGGAAACGGATTTCCATTTCTTCATTGGTTGAATTTGTGTAGCATTCTGATCGTCGCGATTGCTCCCCGTATTGTTTTCAGATGCCATTCTAAATAAATATCATTAAATTACTTCTTATAACTCTCACAATTTGATCCCATAAGCTGGCTACTTTTTCCGGTTACAAATGCCGCCAATAATTAATGCTTAGGAAGTGAATCAAATGGAATATTATCTCTATATTGTCTAGAAGTTTCAAAATGAATGAGATGTGTGTGTGTGTGTGTGTGGGCATATACGTGGGTAAGTGTATGTGTGTGTGCATGTGTTCAGTTTGGGCATGGCATGTACGTGGGTAAATGTATGTGTTTGTGTGTGTGTAGCATAAGCGTCCGACTATTTCTTGTAACATCTTGAAGCTCTATAACCCCTAAACACCCTGAGACCACGCGGTACGAAACGAAAAGCGCCTTGGAGAGAGAGTTCGAGCGCAGCAAAAATAACTGAGATGAAAAGAACAACTGTGAGAGCCTTTTTATACAGTACTCCATGAAGCTGCGGAAATAGTCAGGGAGAAACTTCTGGAACATATGCAAATTTTGACTTTTTCAAGACTTCTTTCTTACCTCAGCAAATTACTTTTCTTCTTTATATGTGCCATCTATTTAATTTCATATTAATGATCAATTAAAAAAGTCTCATTTGAGAACTCATGTGAAGAAATTAGCGAGCAAACGAATCATTCTGCCAATATTAATGTTAAAATACGTGCACACACTCCGACAGGTCATTTCATCTCGGTAAATACAAGAAAATCTTTTGGGCAGGAAAAGCCACAAAGGGGGTGGGCAAGTATTCGGGTAACAATCAAATTAGGAAACAAAACAGATTACTCAATGAAAATTTGCATATGTTCCGTCTTCTTAGAATAGTATATAACAAGCTCCAGTAGTCATTCACTTCATTATTTTCTCGGTGAGTGAGGTGGGTGTCTTTTCAAATTGTCTTTCTTTTGTTTCATCTCACGTGGGTTTCGAGTTGTCAAGTAAATGGTTTGCGTGTAAATAAAAGTATTTATTGAGGAAGTGAAAAGGGGAGATGAACTGGGATTTATTGAGAATAGAGAGTTCAAAATTTGCCCGCCATCTGGTTGTTCATTAGATCTGGGTAGAAATGGTTGAAGTCTAAGAGAGCTTTTCTGTGGTTTATATCGCTTTACATCAAATTTTCATCTTTTCATGTGATTGAGTAGTCCTTTATGTATCGCCGCCTAAATCCAACTTAGACTAAGTTCCACTCATTCTTTTCCGAACTTATCAAATTTGACAACACATTCCTTAGCAACTGCTTTGCTGGACAATTCTAGAGGATAACATCGTTGTTTGATTTATTTTCTGAAGAAGTATTAGTGGTATTTGTAACTTAAGAAAGTAACAAATTTCTTCTTGGAATTAATTTGGAAGAATTATGAAAGAAAGACGTGATGGCTTCTTCAGTTTAAGATGGCATTCGAAAACTTCGGTTTTAACTCAATACCGTCCTTGCTTGAAACTATTCAGCAACACATTGTTGAAATTGATGCGAAAAACGAAGAGCTTGAAGAAAAGATATCGGAGTTTGAGCAACGCGCCAGAATGGATGTACCGAATAACCAAGAAACACCGGAAAACGTAAGTCATTTTAAAAAAAAATTTAAGTGCTAGAAATCAGAATTTGCATGGAAAATTGAGATTTATTCCGAAAACTTAATTTTAGATGCAGCAAAATCAGTCGGATGGTAGTGATTCGGATGAAGAAATTGAAGAATTCCTGCATGAGTTGTACGCATTTAACGGCGAAGCGGAGGCGAACGGATTAGCACGAGCGGATGCAACGAACGCAGCGGATGCAACGAATGCAGGGGATGCACAAAATCATCAGTAGTTACCCTTTATTTGTTTCATGGGTTTCCCTTTTTTGTAAATCTAAACATTTCTTTTTAAGCATACCTGAAATTGTAAGTGCTACCAAAATATTGTTTATGATAAATAATGTTATAATTTCTCTATCCAGCAGTTTTTTCCTTCGGTGAAATTTTGTGAACTCATTTCTAAATTTGGTATTAATCTCTCAGTAATTTCTGTTGCGAAGTAGCCGGTTTGGTTTCTCTCTATTTTATTTCTCGAACATTTTATAGCTAATCTTAGGTATTATGGGCTGTTGCTAATCTCTTCCATTATATCCCCTTTACGAATTACTGGAAGGATCGCATAGCACATTTCGAAGTTTCATTTAACTCATTGTGGTTCTCTCACTATTTTAACGTCGTAATGGGGTGTGGCACTTCTCACAGCAATTTAGCGCATAATTGAAAACGAACTACTTAATGTGGTTCAGTGTTAAAAACGGGCAGTATTCCTGAATTCGGTGTTAGTCTATCCGTATTTCTGTTGCGAACTAGCCGGTTTGCACTTACTTCATTTCCCAAACATCTTATGGACCATCTTAGGTATTATGGGCTGTGGTTAGCTTTTAAGAATTACTGGAAGGATCACACGGAACATTTCGGAATTTCACTTAACTCATTGTGATTGGAGAGTGATTTATGTCATTTCCACTTGTATTTCCAAAGTAGCATATTTTAATCGATCGATGAAGCAAAAAATTGAAATAGTTTTGAAAAATAATCTCCTAGAATAATTATACGCAGCTCTCAATGCGAGTTTTACTTACTTTTGCCTCCACCTGTCGCTACTGAATTTGTGAAACCGAGTATATCCTTTGGGTCGATCGCACACGAAACTGGCCACATCCTAAGTTGTGGTTTATCTCTAGCGGGCCTAGCAAGCGTAATTGTGGCAGCGAAATCCTCATGTTGTGGGCTTATTTATTGTATCTTCCTTGTAGACTTGTGACTTTGCAAGGCTAATGAGTTCCATTTGCCCGGGTCACATTTTTTCTCTCGGAATGAGTTGCCTTAAAGCAAATGAGTCCATTTTACCCATGGGCACACTTTATTGAAACCTGCTAGTCTTTCAGGCCACATTGGAGTCATATGCACCTCAAAAATAGAGAATGCATCATGACTTTCCGCACCATGAAAAATTCTTTCAAATTTCACTTACTAATGTATCTTTCCTTTTCCTTTCGGGTATAGTCTGTGTGCACTGAAGGAAGATTGTATGAGGAAGTAATGAATTTAGTCATTTCGCCCTGAGAGAACTGATTCAGCTGTTTACGGATCAGTTTTGCTCCAATAAATTATTGTAATAGGAAGTTTTTTACGACTCTTTGTAAAGAAGGTTAAAGTGAACGAAGGTAGTTGTAACATAAAATATGAATAAATGATTTCGTGAATCTTTTTAGCTTACTATTCTTTCTGTATAGCTTTCATTTCCTTTTACATATTGCATTTATTGTTGGTGAGAGGATCGTCACGTCAAATCCCTCGGACGTCATGGCAGTAACGTTGGTTGTGAACATTTTGTAAAGAGTTGGGTTATCTAAATTGACGAGAATTTTTGGATAATTAATGTTGCAAATTATAGTTTCTGAGTGCTTTTTTGATCACATTTCTACGAATTATTACTGATATGATTCCTCGTAATATGGAAGTAGTAATTGAATGATAAAATTGAAAAAGGATTTTATAATTAGAAATTAGTGGAAACATCGACATAAAAAATTCGTCTCGAAATTTTATGCATCGTTTTAGTAAGCCAATATAATGTGCAATATCTTTAAGAATTGATTCGAACTATCTTATCATTTCATACATTATATTTCTCATCAAAATTATATCAGCAAACTTGTGCATTTAAACAAATTCTGATTTCAAATAGAAGTGTCGGTAATTTGAAACATTTGGATCTTACATCTCTTTTAACGTGTTCGCACGACTTCCGGTATTTATAACATGTTTTGATGCTTGGCAGTGACTTTGCTAGAAGAAGCGCTAAAGGAAATTGTATAATGTAAATGGAAACTGGTGCCTCTATTGAAATAAATATGAAATTAAAGTCGTTCGAAAAATTTGTGACCATTTTGAAAGTATCGTTTTGCAAAAGTTTAACACAAATAATTTTATTATAATTAATTTGCCATTAAATCATTTGAAATTTTTGGTTGAACTGTTAATACTCCAACCAGATTACCATAAATTGAATGGAATGATTTGCTGTTCATTACTGATTTCATAACTGAACAAAGGTAGCGGAGACCTGCGTCATATACTAGTTGCATTTGCGGTAAAAGTTTAATGAACAATAAATAAGGATTCAACTATCATGAACGTACAGGAACTTATCATTAACCAATGCTTATACACCATTTGACCTTGGAAGTCCTTTAACAGTCTAGCCTATGCATACCTGTGTAAGATCTACTTGGCAAGATATAAGGTAGTTTGTAAGCCAGGAATGAATTAATAACAAACATGAAATAGTATGACATATGAAATTAACGAGAAAAGAACTGGATCATAATGACCACAATGACCGATATTAGCAGTTTCCATTTCAGGTTTTCCTGTCATCTGACTTTTCACGGACTCTATTAGCTTTTTTTCTTCGGCTGTAGCTTCTGATTGTTGAGCAGATTCATAATCAAGGTTCATCAACATGCTACTTGTTTCCGCAACTTTTATCGATGTTGATGCCACCTGTACGGTAACATCGTTTTGATATTCCAATTCATGGCTTCGGAAGAATTTAGAGGGTGGCTTACAGGTAGAACAATCACAATTGAGCATTGAACGACGAGAACAACTTCCCTCACGGAGTAACTTTTCTGCATTTTGTAAAGTTAGGGAGAAATCACTGTGCGATAAGCATCGTACCTGAAAAACATTTTTAAGAAATCCTAATTAAAAAAATGGCGTGTCGGAATCTTTAGGATCTATTTGTTTCCTCTTCTTCACCACTAATAAAATAGCATATTGAAAAAAACTGAAGTAATGTCTTCCGTCATAATTCATTAGTGACTAACTTCAATTGTTACTGAAATTTAATTACACAAATTGAAATTTAGAAATTTTTTCCGAATTATTTTTTTATTGTGTATCATCGAATTATCGAAATATTATGTGTTTGGATATAATCATCTAAAAAGGCTTAGGGAACATTAAATTAGTTTATAAAATGCGACCATGCATGATTCCATTTCCGAAAGTTTAATTTCAACGCAGCAAAAATTTGTCCCAATTGAGTTACGATGATACTAAAGCTGGAATGAAAGTTTTGGACTTTACAATGAATTTCTTGTTTTAAAGTATATATATCAAAGTCCAGAAATCAGAATAATTTTTGCATTCAAACATTCTTTTGAATTTCTTTCTTACGGACAAAACTTTTTTTTCCGAAGTCAATTAGAAACTTAATTTTTCTTGAAAATCGTTATTTCCAATTCAATTACTTTGAAATTAGAACAACTGTTGCCAGTTTCTATTAGTAATTGTATTCCTACTCTCTAATAATTTAATTTCATTTTGATAGTGATAACGGCAAATTAATAAACATTATCGGAGAGCAAAAATATGCTTCATTTCAACTATTTGGTAAAATCGTTGAAAATATCAATCAATGCAATCCTTTGAAATTGCTGAAATACTTCGCGATGCAATAACAACAATAAAACGGACAGTAGTAGTAGCTATGACAACAATAACAACAACTACTACAATAACGGCAGTATAACAACAACGACAACAACAATAACAGTAATAATAATACTGTTAATAATAATAATTAGGAGAATATATCTTTCTAATTAACTTAATTGATTTGTGTCGAAATTACTATTCGATTTTTTTTTTTTGGTATTTCTGTAAAAAAGCTATCAGATAAGGTCAGGAATGAAGGAAAACAAATTCGTTCCGACGTAATTAACCGTCAGGCATGTGACATTTAAAAAAGAAAAAGATTCATAGCGATAAATTCCTGGTTGCTTCGACATATTCAAATTAAAATTTAAGTGAGTTATTCTGTTTGGGATTATTTTGTTTCTCTCTTTAAAAATATTTCGCTATATATCACATTTAAATGAAGTAATTTGAAATTATATATCAAAATTAGAAAAAAAAAGCTGAAGAAAAGGTCTTCTGCGAAAAAAAGTTTTTATGATTTTGGTGTCTGTGCTTCTGTTCTGAGGAAAGGAATTTTAAAATTAAACAAAATATTTCATTATCAGATGAGTTTATGATCAACACTTGCATTATTTGCTATTACAAATTCCATTTTGATTATTTAGAAATATCATTTCAAATTTGGAAATTCAAATATTTTTTCAATAGTTAGTCTAATATAATTGTTATCAGACATTTGAACCTTAAAATTTTATAATCAATTACAACCTTTACTAATGTAATATACAATTCAACAGATACAAACAAACCAGTCGATTAACTTGTGATGTCCAGGTTATTTCATGAATTGTTAAACAGTACAGTACGGAATCTGAGCTATTATTTATGCATGATGACAAATTATTGAAGCAGTTTTCAGCTAAAAGTCGAATATCCATGCAATAATCACATTTCTGAAACAGTTTTAAAAGTTATTGAATTCAAAATTTACATATTAAATGGAAATTAATATAACTACTATTATCAAAGTTTTAAATTTTTTATTTGAACATATGCCATAAAATAGGGAGATGTTATTAATTTGTACGAGATGAAATCAGAAAGTGCTGCAATGGACAAAAACTAAGATTAATGTGGATCAGAAAGATTCAGAAAAAAAAGAGAACGGATACGTAATGCGAAAGTGGAGTATGACATTTCCGGATGACCGGAACAGGGTATTGTTGCAGTATTCAATGAGATTAATTAAGTTTAGGTTATAACTGTATCACTGAGAAGTGTAACAACAGAAAATATATTTAAAGCAATGATTTCGACAATTTTGATGATGTCAAAGGTCAAAAGCAATGTGAATGACAGATAGAAAATTGCAAAGATTAAAGATTTTTTATAAAAATAGAAAAATTGTAAGATAATCATTTTTTTTTCTTCTGTGAAAAAGTAACATTGATTGAAAAATAGAACAAATTTCTACTTAAGAAAAAATTGAAATCAAGTGCAAACTGCTGTTACTGACAGAATCGAAAAAGCGCAAAATAACTGATCAATCGCATGACAGAGATGACGGATTTGTTTAATCCTTGAGATGATAAAAATTGATTTAAAGTAAAGTACAAATGATATTGTACTTTTAAATATATAACTAGCATAATTCAACCATTTTAATACAACAGCTTAATAAGTGTTTATTTTAGCTTATCTAAGTGTCAACAAACAGTAAAATTCTTTAATTGCAAGCTTAAATGAATAAATGAGAAGGAAACTGCAAAACAACGATTAACTGTTAAAAAGATTTGTTTATAAATTAATTTTTTGCCAACTAATTAAAGACAGCAAAACAAAAAGCATAATCTAAGCTGAAAAATTATTTCAAAAAAATTTCAAAACTTTTGACATTTAACAGTGTTGAATAAATAAAATATTACCAAAGTTATCAACAAATTACAAACCTGTGGTTGAAAGTTTTTCACATTTTTTAAATTAGCAATTAGCAAACTTTAAAAGAAGAAAAAGTAAAAATTTTTGAGTGGCAATAAAATAAAGGTAAGGCAGTAAAATTAAAAAATGATTAATAAATAAATAAAAGAAAAATTAAAAAAAAAAACAGCTAGAATGATTATTCATTTTTCCATATCAATAATAAAATTGTAACACGTAAAGGACAGGTAAGGTAATGAGTCATCAATGCTGAAATTGAAAATTAACGAAAAACAAATGCGAAATGACAAAGAAATGATTTCGAGCAGATAGAAATATCCTAAATTAGTCTCAGCTCTGTCACTTTCTTCAGCTATTTGGCATTTTTTTCCTTTTTTTCAGTAAAAGAAGCAAAAATTAGAATAACTTTGATCTTAGAGGTGAAATGTAATAACAGAATACTTTATGACTTACTTCATATATACCACATAACTCGATACTACGAATTACTTTTAAATAAATGAGTTTGTTTTTCTCTCCTTTAAAACTTGATTATTGTTATTTTAAATTCACGGAAGCAAAATTAAAGAGAATTCAAAAATTTTTCTCTCACTTTATTTCTTAAAAAAGGAAGCAAGAAAAAAACTCTCGCCACATTCTTATCGATCAAAAATATTTAGATAGATTAAAATATTTGACTGAAAGATAGCATTGTATTCTCGAATGATTTCCCGAGAGTAAACCAATGTCAGAGTTAGAATAATTCCATCTTTTAAGAATGAGACAATTAGCAATCAACTGGATCATATCTCAATACTTCTTAAATATATTTGCAATATTTAACAAAAAGAAAATGAAAGAATTGAAAAATCGCTAATTCATGGGTACCTTATGCCATATTTTCATATTTCTAATGACTGAAACAATTTCTCACATACACATTTAATGTTAATATATATATTTATTTATTTATTTTTTTGATATTTTGTCAATTTTTCTGTGAGACCTTTTTTCTCGTTCTTAAGATGTGGTTTGTAGAGAGGAAAAGATGTGTTAAAAAATTAAAAAGCGATTATTCGTTTTAAGCCAGTAAATCATCTCCTTTACCGCCTCTCGGACTATCAATGGATTTATTGCATTTTAGATCAAAAAAAAGAAACTAAAATTAGTTGACAAAAAAGTTTTAACTTTAAACTGTAAACTGTTATGTAATCATTTTATATTGGTGTAAAAAGGAAACGCATGCAAGTCAAAAAGAAAGTGAAGAACACAAATGTTAAATTAAATTACACTTCACAGAGTTACAAATTTTCCACTTCACTTTTTTAAATTTTGCTGTAAAAAATATACATATAACCGTATAAATCTTATTTAATCTTTTTTTTTTTTTTGCTATTATAAATTAAATTTTTAATTTTCATTAGGATTTCTAGGAAGATTATTAAATATTTCAGAGAGAATGGGAAAAGAAGAAAAAAACAGAAAGGAAAAGGAATAAAACTGAATAGATGAGGAAAGCAGAATCTTCTTAAGCACTAGAAAGTGAGAAAGGATCGATAGATAAATTAATTAAAATTATTAAATTTAAAAAGCTGAAAATTTAAAAATAATCATTCATTTGATAATAGAGATGAAAAATACAAAGAAACCTGAATATTATAAGGTTGTGGCAGTGCAAGAGAAAGGGCCAAGAGACAAACTGAACTGCAATCCATTTTTGGAACGAATTGTGGGAATGCTTTCCGTCCTGTCACTACTGCAGTTATGTCTGCGGTACTCTTCGATTTATGTTCCCTCTAATATCATTCACATAACCCTGCATTATCGTCACCATAATCACAATAATAATCATCGTCATCACCATCATTGACATAACCCTGCATTATCATCACCATAATCACAATAATAATCATCGTCATCACCATCATTGACATAACCCTGCATTATCATCACCATAATCACAATAATAATCATCATCATCACCATCATTGACATAACCCTGCATTATCGTCACCATAATCACAATAATAATCATCGTCATCACCATCATTGACATAACCCTGCATTATCGTCACCATAATCACAATAATAATCATCATCATCACCATCATTGACATAACCCTGCATTATCGTCACCATAATCACAATAATAATCATCATCATCACCATCATTGACATAACCCTGCATTATCATCACCATAATCACAATAATAATCATCATCATCACCATCATTGACATAACCCTGCATTATCATCACCATAATCACAATAATAATCATCATCATCACCATCATTGACATAACCCTGCATTATCGTCACCATAATCACAATAATAATCATCATCATCACCATCATTGACATAACCCTGCATTATCGTCACCATAATCACAATAATAATCATCGTCATCACCATCATTGACATAACCCTGCATTATCATCACCATAATCACAATAATAATCATCATCATCACCATCATTGACATAACCCTGCATTATCGTCACCATAATCACAATAATAATCATCATCATCACCATCATTGACATAACCCTGCATTATCGTCACCATAATCACAATAATAATCATCGTCATCACCATCATTGACATAACCCTGCATTATCGTCACCATAATCACAATAATAATCATCATCATCACCATCATTGACATAACCCTGCATTATCGTCACCATAATCACAATAATAATCATCATCATCACCATCATTGACATAACCCTGCATTATCGTCACCATAATCACAATAATAATAATCATCATCACCATCATTGACATAACCCTGCATTATCGTCACCATAATCACAATAATAATAATCATCATCACCATCATTGACATAACCCTGCATTATCGTCACCATAATCACAATAATAATCATCGTCATCACCATCATTGACATAACCCTGCATTATCGTCACCATAATCACAATAATAATCATCATCATCACCATCATTGACATAACCCTGCATTATCGTCACCATAATCACAATAATAATAATCATCATCACCATCATTGACATAACCCTGCATTATCGTCACCATAATCACAATAATAATCATCGTCATCACCATCATTGACATAACCCTGCATTATCGTCACCATAATCACAATAATAATCATCGTCATCACCATCATTGACATAACCCTGCATTATCGTCACCATAATCACAATAATAATCATCATCATCACCATCATTGACATAACCCTGCATTATCGTCACCATAATCACAATAATAATAATCATCATCACCATCATTGACATAACCCTGCATTATCGTCACCATAATCACAATAATAATCATCGTCATCACCATCATTGACATAACCCTGCATTATCGTCACCATAATCACAATAATAATCATCGTCATCACCATCATTGACATAACCCTGCATTATCGTCACCATAATCACAATAATAATAATCATCATCACCATCATTGACATAACCCTGCATTATCGTCACCATAATCACAATAATAATAATCATCATCACCATCATTGACATAACCCTGCATTATCGTCACCATAATCACAATAATAATAATCATCATCACCATCATTGACATAACCCTGCATTATCGTCACCATAATCACAATAATAATAATCATCATCACCATCATTGACATAACCCTGCATTATCGTCACCATAATCACAATAATAATCATCATCACCATCATTGACATAACCCTGCATTATCGTCACCATAATCACAATAATAATCATCGTCATCACCATCATTGACATAACCCTGCATTATCGTCACCATAATCACAATAATAATAATCATCATCACCATCATTGACATAACCCTGCATTATCGTCACCATAATCACAATAATAATCATCGTCATCACCATCATTGACATAACCCTGCATTATCGTCACCATAATCACAATAATAATAATCATCATCATCACCATCATTGACATAACCCTGCATTATCGTCACCATAATCACAATAATAATAATCATCATCACCATCATTGACATAACCCTGCATTATCGTCACCATAATCACAATAATAATAATCATCATCACCATCATTGACATAACCCTGCATTATCGTCACCATAATCACAATAATAATAATCATCATCACCATCATTGACATAACCCTGCATTATCGTCACCATAATCACAATAATAATAATCATCATCACCATCATTGACATAACCCTGCATTATCGTCACCATAATCACAATAATAATAATCATCATCACCATCATTGACATAACCCTGCATTATCGTCACCATAATCACAATAATAATAATCATCATCACCATCATTGACATAACCCTGCATTATCGTCACCATAATCACAATAATAATAATCATCATCACCATCATTGACATAACCCTGCATTATCGTCACCATAATCACAATAATAATAATCATCATCACCATCATTGACATAACCCTGCATTATCGTCACCATAATCACAATAATAATAATCATCATCACCATCATTGACATAACCCTGCATTATCGTCACCATAATCACAATAATAATAATCATCATCACCATCATTGACATAACCCTGCATTATCGTCACCATAATCACAATAATAATAATCATCATCACCATCATTGACATAACCCTGCATTATCGTCACCATAATCACAATAATAATAATCATCATCACCATCATTGACATAACCCTGCATTATCGTCACCATAATCACAATAATAATAATCATCATCACCATCATTGACATAACCCTGCATTATCGTCACCATAATCACAATAATAATAATCATCATCACCATCATTGACATAACCCTGCATTATCGTCACCATAATCACAATAATAATAATCATCATCACCATCATTGACATAACCCTGCATTATCGTCACCATAATCACAATAATAATAATCATCATCACCATCATTGACATAACCCTGCATTATCGTCACCATAATCACAATAATAATAATCATCATCACCATCATTGACATAACCCTGCATTATCGTCACCATAATCACAATAATAATCATCGTCATCACCATCATTGACATAACCCTGCATTATCGTCACCATAATCACAATAATAATCATCGTCATCACCATCATTGACATAACCCTGCATTATCGTCACCATAATCACAATAATAATAATCATCATCATCACCATCATTGACATAACCCTGCATTATCGTCACCATAATCACAATAATAATCATCGTCATCACCATCATTGACATAACCCTGCATTATCGTCACCATAATCACAATAATAATAATCATCATCACCATCATTGACATAACCCTGCATTATCGTCACCATAATCACAATAATAATCATCGTCATCACCATCATTGACATAACCCTGCATTATCGTCACCATAATCACAATAATAATCATCGTCATCACCATCATTGACATAACCCTGCATTATCGTCACCATAATCACAATAATAATAATCATCATCACCATCATTGACATAACCCTGCATTATCGTCACCATAATCACAATAATAATAATCATCATCACCATCATTGACATAACCCTGCATTATCGTCACCATAATCACAATAATAATAATAATCATCACCATCATTGACATAACCCTGCATTATCGTCACCATAATCACAATAATAATAATCATCATCACCATCATTGACATAACCCTGCATTATCGTCACCATAATCACAATAATAATCATCGTCATCACCATCATTGACATAACCCTGCATTATCGTCACCATAATCACAATAATAATAATCATCATCACCATCATTGACATAACCCTGCATTATCGTCACCATAATCACAATAATAATAATCATCATCACCATCATTGACATAACCCTGCATTATCGTCACCATAATCACAATAATAATCATCATCATCACCATCATTGACATAACCCTGCATTATCGTCACCATAATCACAATAATAATAATCATCATCACCATCATTGACATAACCCTGCATTATCGTCACCATAATCACAATAATAATCATCATCATCACCATCATTGACATAACCCTGCATTATCGTCACCATAATCACAATAATAATCATCATCATCACCATCATTGACATAACCCTGCATTATCGTCACCATAATCACAATAATAATAATCATCATCACCATCATTGACATAACCCTGCATTATCGTCACCATAATCACAATAATAATCATCATCATCACCATCATTGACATAACCCTGCATTATCGTCACCATAATCACAATAATAATCATCGTCATCACCATCATTACCATCATTGTTGTCATTGCTAATTTTCAGACTGTAATTCACACCTGATTTGTTACCTTTGAAAGGTATATTCGTGTGAAGATTGAGCAGAACCTCATCAAATCCTACCCTATTGAGATTACAGATAAATCTAGTTCTAATAACCTCATGAACTTCATCAAATCTTGAAATATATAAAGTTAAAATTAGAATTGCTAATCCATGTATGATGAAGCCATGCTTTTATTTGATGGTAAAACTTACTTTGACCTATTTCACATACTCACTCAAATAATTATAATTACTAATCAGCAATTTGGCTTATAATCCAACAACTGCAATTTTCAGTCAATATTTTTTCATGATTACGGCGATAAATCAAAAATTCTACCTTCTTCCTTTCAAAGATTATGGTACGGCTTTTCTTTTTTCTCGCCTTTTTTATTCTAACATATTCATTTCTCTTTTATTTACTACAAGCGAAATGAAATTTTAAACATAAATAATTAATTTGCTAATTTCTCCTTCTTTGCTAAGAAAAAGTTTCTTCCTCAATATATTACACATGCGGAAAACCGATATACGTAAAATTTCCTGAGATGACACCTGTACGCTTATATTTCAGCAAAGGCACACGTCACGTTTCGCGTAGTTGTACTAAACGTTGTTGCAGTGTATCAGCAAGATAAGAAACCACCACCAAAATTCCCCAACAAATTTCCACCTTGAACATTGATAATTTATTCACTTCCTAAAAAGTTGTGAGTGGGTAGTAGGTGGTACACGTGAAGTAAATGCCTTCTCTCCCACGTGCACACACACACACATATACATACATACATGCGTGTGTACAAGTCAGGGGAAAAGGGGCATTTCACCCCGGTAAATTATAAAAAAATCTTTTGGACAGTTTGTTAAGGAGGAGCCACAAAAGGGGGTGGGCAAGTAGAAGGGTAACAATCAACTTGGGAAACACAAAACAGATTACTCAATGAGTGTGTCCAAAATTTGCATATGTTCCGTTCTCTTGGAATAGTATATAAGAAGCTCCGTAATCATTCACTTTATTCTATTTTCTCGGTGAGGGAGATAGGTATTCTTTCAAATTATTTTTCTTTTGTTTCATCTCACGTGGGTTTCGAGTTGTCCGCGTAAATGGTTTGTGTGTAAATAACGGAACTTTTTACGGAACTGAAAAGGTCAGATGAACTAGAATTTATTGAGAATCGACGATTGAAAATTTGCCCGCCATCTGATTGATCATTAGATCAGGGTAGAAGTAGTCGAAGTCTTCTCAAAATTGACATTCCTTAGCATCTGCTTTGCTGGACAATTCTAGTGGCCACCACTATTAGTTGTTTGATTTATTTTCTGAAGTATTATTGGCGGTATTTGTAACTTAAGAAAGTGACGACCTGTTAGAATTAATTTTGATATTATAATAATATTTAGTTTAGAATGGAATCCGAAAATAACAAGACCAGTGATGGATATGATCAGAGTTCCAATGGAGTTCCGCTAAAGAAAGATCCCAGAATTTGTGATTCGGCTAAGGTTCCGGCAGCTTTCAGTGAAGGTTACTGTTTTATGAATACGTTTTGTTTGCCTTCAACTGAAATGAGAATGTTTTTTCGCTCATAAATGTTGGTTATTTTGCTGAAAATTTTAGAACAACAATCTTCGGTTGCAGAGAATGAAATAAATGATATTATCAAAGGAAACGAATATCTGAAGGAGAACATAACTTTGTTGAAAATATACCTACGTTGGCTGGGAGACCTAATACTATTAGCACAGAAAAAGAAAAGAAACAACTTTAATGAAATGGTAAATGAGCCTTAAAGACCACTGAATTATTTAGTTTTAAATTGTTCTTTTTTTCTTTTCAAGTATATGTAACATTCAAGCGTTCTGCAAAGTAAAAAATCTGTTCACAAATTTTTCTTTGATTTTGAGCAATTCCTTTTCTAGTATGCAGCAATGCAGATAGAACGGGACAAAGCGAAAGTTCAGCAAAAAGAATTGGAAAAATTACGAAAATCAAAGCAGGAACTCCTTGAGAAACAAAAATCGGAATTTGAACTTAAAAAAACTGAGTGGGAGCAAAAACTTATGGATCATGAAAATCTTTATAACATAGTAAAACAATGTTGTGAGTTGTTATCTGACATTAGTAATAACAACAAATTGGGAATTGCTCAGCAAACGCAACAGAAAAACCGTTGCAAAAAACTGCAATTTAAAGTGAACAGAGTCAAAATAACTGCGGAACAAAATAAAGAGAAATTAATCCGTCAGGAACAGGTTTGGCTTTTTCCTGTTAGTATGAATTAACTAATCACAGAAATATGATCTCATTTTCACTTTCCCTCCCTTCCTTCCTTTATATTTCTTTGCATTTAATGTTTCTGTTTGAGTTGCTCTCGAAGCAAATTGAATCAGTTACTATAATTTATAGAATTGTATCGTCATAAAAATGATTTAGCGTTTTGCTGTGCTGTACTGCCTCTTACCTGTGTAAGGTTGATTAATGAATATTATTCAAATTTGATGAATGATGGTTCTAGATGTTTAAAGAGAAGTTGGATGGAATAAAAGATGCACATGAAATGGCACTACAGCAGCGTGACCGAACAATCTCCATACTGACCAAACAACTGAAACTGCTAATAGAGGAATCTACTAAAGCTCAAAGGTCGTGAATTTTGTATGCAAAAACATTCATTATATCAAAATTAGTGTCGTAAAAGAAAGAAATTAAGCCTGTCACGTTGACGAAGAGACATTGCAAGTAGTGAAAATGCATTTTAAATATATCAGTGACTTTCATTGTATCGATTTAGTGAGAACTTGACAACAGTAGTGCACACTGGAACTCAAACTGTCACTGAATTCGAAATGGATGTCCTCTAGCGAACGCTATTTTTGACGATGAAAGATAAACAGATATGAGATCTAACAGATATGAGGTCATTTGTGAATGTTTACAAATATTTTAATCGATAAAGTGAAAAATTGAAATGGTTTTGAATCCAGAATTTGCTAGGAAACACTAGTGAAATGACCGACCGTGTTCTTCATTATACGAAATTATAGTTAACGAAGAATGTTACCCGATATTCAATAGTAACAGCAATTTAATTTGTGATCTTGTGGATTGGTACCTACAAGTTGGTCCACAATTTGTATTTCAAATTGCAAATCTCATTCCAAGAAAATGATGTCACACATTTCAAAATCTATAAGGGATACTTGATTTAAATGCGAGACGATTGAAAAAGACTTTAAGATAATTCGAAATGAATACCGAAAATGATTACAACCGATTACAAGAAACGATTAGTGAATAAAAAGAAATCAAAGCTTCAGTTTGAAAGAATAAATCTGCAAAGGTACTAAATTGGAATACCTTAGTGTAGAAAGTTTATTCAGACTTAGAGTGCAATCGTTGGTTACAAGTTACTACTACAAAAGACTTAGCGACATTACAGATCTATCCATCCTAGCATGAAACTTCAAAACAGATTCAGTGAATTGAATTAAAATAATAAAAAATCTCCGGAAACCTCTCTTTTTCATGCTACATTGAATACTTAATAAAAAATTTAAAAAACAAATCAAACTTTAATAGAAAAAAAAAAATTTATGCACGCTTATTCAGAATCCCAGTACTCTTGCAAAATTTACAAACATTAAGATGCTGTTCCTTACTGCATAAAGAATTTAGACTAAGGAAATTCTACAGGGCAAAAATTTGTGAAAGAAAGACTACAGGTAGGTTGATGTAGATAAGAAATTTATAAGCATGTCCTATCCCAAAACAAATTTTACATCTTCCAAATTACTTTCTACAAGTGTGGTACCTAATTTCTTTTATGTGAAAATGGTAGGACACTAAGAACAAACAGTAAAATTAAATTTTTTGTCGGTACTGTTAAAACATTATGCAGTGTGACAAAAAACAATAAGGTAAAATGTTTATGTGCAAATCATAATCGACATTATAACTTTGTAAAAAACCATAGGCTGAAAAAATGACTAACTGAACATAGACGACGAAATTCAATAACATATACAGTAGATTGATGTCAAATAAAGCGATATTTCAATTAACTCAATTCATCAAAATAAGAATAAGCAGAAATGCAGAAAAAAAGGAAGAAATTAACCAACTACCTAACGGTAGCACATAAACAAATAAAAGCAGAAACAAAAAATTAAGAAAAGATCTGCAATACAGACAGCAGTGGCCGAAACACAGATAGTAGTGATCGAGACGCGAATTAATTTTGTCTGAAAACTTTCCAACACATTAGAAAGACATAAGCATAAAAAAGAAAAAAATCCACTCACTTTTCTTCCTTCAAAAAGAAAGAAAAATGCGTTTTTTTTTTGAATTTTGGTATGTACAGTTAAAGAGAAAAAAGTACACAACGAGGTATTACAAATGGAATTAATAAATGCATATAATAATGCACCAGGTATGTAAAATACCACAAAATAATAATTTAAATTTTACCCTATGAAGTGAAATTCAAGTTGAAGAAATTTTAACAGGTAATAAAGTTAAAGTTACATTTTTAGAGCCCAAAATATGTGGAAACAGTTATTTGGATAAGATTTATAATGATCAGATTGACAGTATTGTACAGAATAATGAACTAAGCCTTCTCCTACTCAGCTTGCTGCTGGAGTATGCGCTGACTGAATGAACATTTGTTGGAATGTACGCATTTCTTCAGGGCGTAAAGCACGTGTTTTTCGCAGGCGCTTCCATTCTCCTGTTCGATAATCCATCTAAAGGAAAATAATTCTGACATTTTATACGAAAACCTGTTTGATTAAAGCTACTACCAAAACCAGTATCTGTCAATTTCATCATGTAACAGTATTTGCTGATAATTTATGTAAGAACTGAGCTTTTCTAAAAATACTAGTCAGTCATGTATGAATAAGGCACTGTAT